TTTTTTAATTTTTTTATACTTCAGATTTATTTGTGTTGTGTAGTCCAATGGCGAGTAAAATGTTCCAAAATATGTGCACCATCTGTCTGTTCTGAATGACAATGAAGTGGCTATTTTATGTAGTGGGCTAATAACAGCCTCCACAGCCAGCTTAATGTTTGTGGGATTCCCCTCAAGAAAAGAGAAATTCTAAAAACTTTTTTTTGCACATAAACAATAACATAAAATATCTGATGGCGAGGCCTGATAAAAAATTTTAACAAAAAACCCAGAGAGCGTACAGCTCTTAAATGTCCCGTAAGGCTAATTTGTCTTTAGTGACACAATAAAGTTCACTTTATAAATAAAGCGCAGCTTTGCCTCGAGTCAGACGGCTTATCGGAGGCAGCAAGTTGCTTCTTATCAAACATTTTACAGCGGAGTTAGTCGGAAGACGTTATTTAGACTACGAGTTTCTTACTCATGAACGCTGACATTAGCTGAGTCATTTTTCCGTCTGCTTCAGCGGCTGCTGAGTAACTAGGTCATAAACGTCGAAACTGACTGCTTGAGAAAAACAGTTTAAATATTACAGAAACTGGAAACAAACTTTGGTAAACAGGTGTCATGTTCGTCACTGGAAAAGAGAAAAGAGACGCTGGTATTTAAGCCAGTTAAGAAAATGTGGCAATTAGTGGTTTCACTCCAACTGCGCAGCAGATTAGCACTGTGGGTGTTTAACTCGGTAACTACAGTACTCATTACTCACTGACCACAGTTTCCCCTCGATGACTAAAAACGAACCTTGAATTCTGAATTTAGACCTTTTTTTTGAGAAGTCTGATATTGAAACAATGACAAAGTATTTGAGAATCAATCTGAAAAAGACAAAGAAAAAAAAATCTGCAGAACTTGTGATTTATGTTTTTGTTATTAGAGAGATATTTTTAACACGGTGTGGCTGACAGCTCGCGTTTTCATTAACCCTTCACTTTAACTTTGTGTGTTTGCAGCACAAAACGACCTGGAAACCAGCGTAGTGGGACTTACCCTCTCAGAATATTTCTGACAATTTTATCTTGAATTCAAATTCCCCCAAAAGGTCTAGAAATATCAGGCGGAGGCTGCAGGCTTTAGTCTGAACAACCTTTTTGTGGGTGTTTCTTCTTAAATTACTATATATGCTTTCGCTAGTCATTTAACATCTGTCAGAAATCTAAGAATTTCTCCAGAAGTCTTCAAAAATAGACAAAATAAAAACCCCCCTAGGAACTGAAAGAGGTCAACGACAGTGGCTGATTTCAAAGCTGTGGACTTTGAACTGTAGCTTCTGCTAAAAGAGGGCACAAAAAACTAATTAGAGCTCAGGTGATACTAATAGCATACAAAATACAAAAAGTCCACCGGCCACAATACCTGTATCACCTCACTCTGCAGGTCCCCTCTGGTGAGCTTTAGCCGCTTTCAGCTCACTGTTTTGGCTTTTACAACCTCCAGTTTGAATTCAGGCTCAGCTAAAGTCACATTACACACAGATTCAACAAGTTGCTCCTTCGGAGATAATGGTCCATATTGGCATCACACAGTTGCTGCACCAGATCCCAAAGATGTCGGAGCCTTTGATAGAAAGTGGGACTGATCCATGCTTTAATGTTATTTGTGTACTGCCCAATAAATTCTGACCCTACAATCCAAATTGCAGCAGAAATTGAGACCAGGCAATGTTTTTCCAATTGTGTACTGTCTAATTTTGCTGAGCCTGTGCAAACTGTAACCTGAATTTTCTGTTTTCAGATGTCAGGTAATCTTCTGCTGCTGTAGCCCACCTGCTCTTCTGCATACCTTGTTTGTAACAACTGATTATTTGAGTAACTGTTGCCTTCCCATCAGCCTGAAGCAGTCTGGCCATTCTCCACAGACCTCTGACATCAACAAGGCACGGCCATTGACAAGATATGTTCTCTTTTTCCAAGAGAATCCAAGTAGATCAGCAGTTTTTGACTGCTCAGATGAGCCCATCTGGCACTGACAATCATGTCACTTAAATCAATTGTCTTCCTCAGTCTGATGCTCGATTTAAACCACATCCGTGTGACTGGATGATTAGATATGTCCATTAAAAAGCAGTAGAACAAGTGTACCTATTAAAGTGGCCCGTAAGTATGTTCTTGGGGAAAAAAGTAATGAAACATCGAAAAGTTTTTAATTACTGTGGGGGGGAAAAAAATTAGTGGACACAATTTGTGGGTCACATCTTTCAACTGACCCATCTGCCTCCCTGTTTCTCTGTGTGTGCTTGATGTCCAGACAGGGATCCCTTTTGATAACGCGATCAACTTAAGGGCGATAACATGTCAGTGTTGTGGTTACAGCTCGTTGCTGTGCTCAGACAATTGGCTAATGCAGGTATAATACAGCAGGCCAGAAACATGATCATGTCACAATGCAGTCTGCAGCTGTTTGACCAACAGCAGCAGATCAAATAACTACCACAGCATTCAGCTCTCTGCGATAAGGGGAAGTTGAGGGAGGAACAGGAAAGGTAAATGTTAAAGCTCCTGCTATACATCTGCCTATAGAACAAGGGGATTTTTTTCCCCTTCTGCTTAAGTAGCTGTACATTTATTTTAAATAACCACATCTCACTTCTCTGGAAACATCCAGTGCAGGTGACTGACCTACTGAGCTCCATGAAAAGCACTCTTCTCCTTCTTGAGCAGATCTGTTCCCATTTTCAGAGGAAGAAACCCATACCCATTACTCTTAAGATAAACATGGCTCTTCCTGCACTTATATCACATGACCCTTGCGGTTACTTGTCAGTCAAAAGGTCACATGATTATCCACCCGATGTTTGTCATGTGATAACCTCAGCGGGCTGAGGTCAACCAGTTTGCAATGATGATATTTACATTTTATTAACCCTGTTATAAAAACAAATATGGTGGAAAAAAAACAACATGTCTCACCTGCGTCTTGCCCTGCTGGCCGTAAACGATCTTGGTCGGGATGATTTTGGTGGCGGTGGCCTGGGACCCGGAGCTCATGCCTTTGGGCTGGGTGACGATCATTTTAGTGATGGGTCTGGAGGCGGTGATGATTGCAGGTTTGGTCCCCTGAACTGCCTGAAGGCCCTTTTCCCCCTGCAGCATACGCAGCACGCTCATTAGGATTCTTTTTAGCCAAATTCAAATTAAAAACAAAACAAAACCAAAAAGCGAATAAAACTGAATAAAAGAAAAAGAAGCACGAATTGCAAGAAACCTAATTTAAAGCATAAATTTGTGGGAACCCATACTCACTGACCAAATCCGGTGGGAACTATAGACTTCCAACCTCTTTTTTCCCCCCCATTTCCACTAACTTCACCACTGAGTCAATCCCCATAGGCTCCCACATTACAATTCCCAACTTTAAAGATCAAACTGTTTACAGTCACGCACAAAAATATACTTCTGGTCTCTATAGATAGGTTCCCCCTTCACAATAACTGTACAGGGGTTGAAATTTCTTTTAGAACTCATGCACTTGGATAAGGTTTAGCGTTAGCAGCGCAGCCATAGGCAGCTGTTCAAACACTGACCCTCCCGACTGTTAGTTGCCTGTTGATGTTTTTTTGCAGTTTTCTGACAAATCACATGACCTGCTGTGAGCACAGCCCATACAAAAAGTTTGTACTTCTGACTTGGTGACTGAAATTCAAATTTTTCCCATGACAGATTTGTCCGTCTAAGGATTGCAGCCATTCAACCATTGCTAGCGTTAGTTAACGTTACACATGGCTAACTTCAAAAGACCAACAAGGCAGCAGCCAAAAGGCCAGGAACCACTGTCTTTCATATGTGTCGCGGATAAATACAACAAAATAAAATGACACGACCAAGGCAAAAACGGTGGTATTTTGTAAATATAATAATAAACGCAAATTCACTGTGTAATTGTGTAACAGCGTCCTCCTGAAATGCCCCAACAACATTGAGAGTAACATCCTCCTCTCTGCCCCTTAATGGTCTCTGGTTGCTATGGTAACACGTAAATATTTCTTTCAAAATAAGACACAACTACAGTGGTACCAAACAACTCATGGACCGGTGCCGGCCCGTGGCCCAGCGTTGGGGACCACTGATATAAAACATCTGAAATAATTACAATGGTCATTACATTTTCAGAAATATTGACCTCTAACCTTCACCTTGAGGTTGAGGTCACAGAAATTCAAACTCATCAGCCATTTTTAGACGACACACCTATGGTACTGTTTGGAAAATCCTACTTTGCCTTGTTCTCGAGTTATCCAGTACAATGACCAAAGTGGCTAAAGACGTCTAATAGAGGTTTAGTTTAGTTTCTGCAGAAACGCAGCAACTATTCTTCCTGTGGTCGCAGATCTTTGCATTTTGACAATGCATCATAAGACACACACATATACCATATAACTGACACGTTTACTC